GCCCAACTCGATGGCAATGTGTACGCCGTTGATGAGTGCTTCATACTCAGCCACATTATTGGATGAGGGGAAATGGAGACGAACCATGTACCTCATGCGTATCCCGAGGGAGGGTATGAAGACCAGCCCCACGTCGGTGCCCTTCTTCATCAGTGATCTGTCGAAGTACATCGTCCAGTACTCTTGATCGATGGCTGCTAGCGGCATTTGGACCTCGGTCCATTCCGCGATGAAGTCAGCCAACACCTGGGACTTGATCGCCGTTTGGGAGGCATACGTAATGCCCTGATCCATCAACTTGAGTGCCCACTTTGTGGTTCTTCCCGTGGCGTCCTGGCTTTGTAGGACCTCGCCGAGGGGGAACGACATCACGACCGTCATCGGGTGTGACTCGAAGTAGTGGCGTAGCTTCCTCTTGGTGATGAGGACGATGTACAGGAGCTTCTAGATTTGGAAGTAGCAGGTCTTAGAGTTGGATAGTACCTCTTTGATGAAGTACATAGGGCGCTGTACCTTGAGGGCATGCCCCTCTTCTTCCCGCTCCACTACTAGAGCTGTGCGGACCACTTGCGTGGTGGCCGCTATGTATAGCAGAAGGGATTCTCCATTGGTAGGAGGAACCAAGATCAGGGGCTTTGTCAGAAGCAGTTTGACCATGTCAAGCGCCTCCTAGGCCTCGGATGTCTATTCGAAGCGGTCGGCTTTCTTGAAGAGTCGATAAATGGGGAGACCTCATTCGCCGAGGCACGAGATGAATCAGCTGAGTGTGGCGAGGCACCCTGTGACTCGCTGGACCCCCTTTATGTTCTGAATCGAGCCCATCCTTGTGATGGCTAAGATTTTCTCTGGGTTGGCTTCGATGCCACGCTCGGAGACGATGAAGTCGAGCAGCATACCCCTCGGGACCCCAAAAACACACTTCTCGGGATTGAGTTTGATGCCGTTGGCTCAGAGTTTTGCAAAAGTCTGCTCCAGATCGACAACAAGATGGTCAGCCCTTTTGGACTTGACCACGATGTCGTCAATGTAGGCCTCAATGGTCCGCCCGATGAGGTCCCCGAAGCATTTGAGCATACAATGTTGGTATGTTGCCCCAGTGTTCTTCAGACCGAACAGCATCGAGACGTAGCAGAATGATCCAAAGGGGGTGATGAAAGATGTCGCGAGTTGGTCGGACTCTTTCATCGTGATTTGATGGTAGCTGGAGTACGCATCAAGGAAGTAGAGGGTTTTGCACCCCGAGGTAGAGTCGACTATTTGGTCTATGCGCGGCAAAGGAAACGGATCCTTTGGGCATGCCTTGTTGAGACCCATATAGTCAACACATATCCTCCATTTCCCACTCTTCTTTCATACAAGAATAGGATTAGCTAACCACTCTGGGTGGTATACTTCCTTGATGAATCCGACCGCTGAAAGTTTTGCTATCTCTTCGCCGATGGCCCTACGTTTCTTCTCGTCGAAGCGACGTAGGTGTTGCTTCACCGGCTTGGAGCTTGGGTGGATCTTCAAGGTATGATAGGTGACTTCCCTCGGAATGCCTGGCATATCTGAGGGTTTCCATGCAATGATGTCTTTGTTGCCGTGGAGGAAGTTGATGAGTGCGCTTTCCTATTCGGTGAAAAGCGTGGTACCAATGCGTACTGTTTTGCCCTCAGAGCTATTGGGATCTACGAGGACCTCCATAGAGCTTTCTACTGGCTCGAAGGTCCCGACTGACTTTTTGGTGTCGGGCGCTTCCTCGGTGACCTCCTCCCTAAGGGCGGCGAGCTCTCCGGAGGCGATGATTGCTGCGGCGTGACTGCAGCACTCGACCTCACACTCATAGGCATGCTGGAAGGAGGTGTCGATGGTGATGACCCCATGGGGGCCCGGTATTTTCAGCTTGAGGTATGTATAGTTGGGGACGGCCATGAACTTCGCGTAGCATGGTCGTCCTAGGATGGCATGGTAGGTTCCGGGGTACCCAACCACCTCGATGGTGAGGGTTTCGGTCCTGTAATTGAACTGATCCCCGAAGGTAATGGGCAGATCGATCTACCCAAGTGGCATGGCCTGCTTTTCGGGCACGAAGCCGTGGAAAGGTGCTCGGGTTGGGCGGAGGCGTGCCCGGTCGACGCCCATCTCATCGAGCGTCTTGGCGTACATGATGTTCAGGACGCTGCCTCCATCCATCAGTACTTTGGTGAGCCGCTTAGGGCCGATGATTGGGTCGACCATAAGAGGATATCTCCCCGGATGCGGGACGCTCTTCGGGTGGTCGGTCTGATCAAAGGTTATGGCAGCCTCGGGCCACCGGAGGAAGGCAGGCATGGCCGGTTCGGTCGTATAGACCTCGCGGCACGCGACCTTCTGATGGCGTTTGGAGTCGTAGGCCGCCAATCCTCCGAAGATCATGAGGCAGCCGTTTGGTGTCGGAAAGCCATCATCCTTCTCCTCGGCGTCGTCCACGGTGGGGGTAGGGTCCTTTCCATGCTCCCCTTTGTTGGAGCCTCCAGACAAGAACTACCGCATGAGGCTACAGTCCTTGAGCAGATGCTTAACCGGGAAGGCATGGTTCGGGCACGGCCCCTTGAGTAATTTTTTGAAGTGGTTCAGAGTGCCCTTCACGGGCTTCTGACCACCCTTGCGGTCAGCAGTGGCCACGAGCGAGTCCTCACGCCATTGCTTCTTGTTCTTTCTTTTGGCGGAACGATTGGAGGCGCCTTCGCCGGTGCCCTCGTCCCGCCTTGCCTTGCCGTCGAGACGATCGAAGATCGCTCCAACCGCTTCTTCTCCCGAGACATGGCTGGTGGCGATGTCCAGGAGTTCCTTGGTGGTTCATGGGCCCTTGTGTCCCAGCTTATGAACCAAAGACTCGCAGGTAGTCCTAGACAGGAAAGCCCCTATAACGTCGGCGTCGGCGACGTTAGGTAGCTCGTTGCACTGCGGGGAGAAGCGCAGGATGTAGTCGCTGAGGGTCTCACCGGCCTTCTGTCGGCTCCTTCAGATCCGCCCAACTTTGGATCATGTTGGACAGCAGGTGTTCCAACCACGCTCGTGCCGAATCGGCTAAGAACAGTGGAAGGTTGCGGATAATGAAGTCGTCATTATCCGCACCACCGGCTTGGCAGGCAAGCCGATAGTCTTCGAGCCATAATCCGGGGTTTGTTTCCCTAGAGTACTTTGGGATATTGGTCGATGGTCGGTACCTTGGCGGGAAAGCAGTGCTGAGGATATGACGGCCGAAGGCCTGAGGGCTCGGTAGGCCGGGGCTCGGGCTTCGGTCCTCGCCGCGGTCGTAGCGTCCGCCGTGACAAGGATGATAGCCGTGGCGGGCTCCTTCTCTTGGGTCGCCGTAGGTACGTTTGCGGGCGTCGAGAGTGCTGCGTGCGTCGTGGTTACGTCCGAGATGCTGATGCACTGGGACAGCGGCGCGCTACCTGCCGCCCTATAGTGCCTGGTGGACCGACACGTCCCTGTTAGGACGCCCGAAGGGCGTGCGCTGGCTGGCGTCGAGCTCGCGTCGCCGAGACAACGAGCTCTCTTCCTGCTGCACCGCCGCACGCTCGAGCAGTGTGCGGATCTCGCGGTGGGCCTGACGATACTCGGGCTTCACGGCCTCTAGAAGGCCATGGAGCAAGGCTGTTGCGGCGGTGATGTTCTGGCTCACCCGGGCGAAGCGAGGAAGGGCTTCATCGTTGGCGATGATCCTTCGGTTTACATCACAGGCCATGGCGCGTGCGCACCCACCGTCTTCACGGCGCTCGATCTCTCGATCGAGCTTCGCGCATTCCTGCACAAGCTGGAGTCGCGCTTCCTCAATCTCCTGCTGTCGGGCTTTCAGCTGCTCCACCCCCATGCGAGGTGGGGCCGCTGTCTCCCCTTCAGTTTCGTCGCCAAGGTTGCTCACCGGGGTAGCCTCCTCCACGGGGATGCTTTTGACGTGTCCCTCGGAGGTACCCGTCACGAAGCATTCCCGGGAGGGGTGATGGCTCCCCCTGCTGAAGTCAGAGCCAGAGGACGACCCCAGCTCCTCTGTGAGGAGGTTGTGGAGAAATTTCGTGACGTGTTCGATTACCCCCACGAACTCGTTGTTCGCGGGCGACAGGACCATGCGTCGTGCCACAAGGTGGCTAATGGTCGCCGCAGCGTTGTGGAGACCGAACGAAAGTGCTGTTGGGGCACTCCATATGTGGTGTTCCGGAGAGAGGGATCCTCCTCCGAAAAACCGCGCCATGTCGTTGGCGTCGGAAAGGGTGAGGCGGCGCTAGTCCTCCCTGGACTGGTGGGGTCCAAGGAAGACACCGAGCTGGTGCTCAAGCCTCTCATGGTTGAGGCTGATGGAGGAGAGAGATTGGATGACGCCACGAGCCAATGTCAACTCTCCTCCCACCGTGATGATGAAGTCTAGGTTTCCGAAGCGCACGTATGCACCTAGGACCCAGCTGATACCGTGGCTAGCCATTCGTGGCCTAATGTTGATGTTGGAACACGCAAAGGAACACGCAAAGGACCCCTACCTGGCGCACCAACTGTCAATGTTTCGAATAAACACCAACTAGTAAATTTATATTTGTTGCGCGTTAGACCCGGATGGTATGCTAAAGGACACAAGGTTTATACTGGTTCGGGCAGAATGTCTCTACGTCCAGTTTGCTGCTGCTCATGTTATTAGCAGTGAAAAAGGTTCGTAGTACGGGTACAAACGGTCGAAAGAGGAACATGTCCCAAGTCTCTGATGTAACGGTCGAAAGGGCGCTAAGAGCTCGGTTGCTGCTCCGCAGTGTGTTATGTGGTGCGTGATGTGTGAAATCGATCCGTCCCCTTAGTGGGGTGCCCTGCCTTCCCTTTTATAGATCAAGGGGGAGAAGGGGTTACAGACGGGAGAAAGAAGAAAAACCAGAGGCCAAGAAGATCCTTCGAAGGTGCGTCTAGCTCCCTATCCAAATTAGGTGCGTCTAGCTCCCTATCCAAATTATTACAAAAGGACATTCAAATTATTGAGACAATCTTGATTTTTATGATGAAGGCGCGTCTGGCTGATTTTTAGGTAGCGCAGCTTGGAATGCGGGAATTTGCATGTATGCTTCATGGAGCCTCTCCAAGATAGGGTACTTCGACTGCAAGAAAACAAGAACTTATTGAAGCTAGTTTCTGAATAAGTAGGGTGGCCGTGGTCCACACTATCCATTTTGTTTTACATGGAATAGCATATGAAACATTAGGTACCATATCGATTTGGAAGCGATTTATACCAGCATGTATCTGTGGTTCAAGAAACACATCTCCCTGTCCATGCATGAACACAAAATATGCAAACACCAGATTAGTTCAGATCACTTACTAGAGCAAACACAAATTATGCCAAATTGTTTTACAGTGCATTAATTCCTACTAAAATTCAAGTAAGATGACACTTTCTCAAAGTTGGATGTCAAAAGACTAAACTGAATGAGAATTTTGTTGAAATGTAGTTTGGAGAAAAAAAAAATATGCATGATTGATATGATGATGCGACCATTTCTAAGTGATTGATCAAAGCAAAACAATGTGTATTATTAAAAGGATGGGTAGCAAAGCAAACCAATTGGACATCATCTCCAGTAGCATATTTACTCTCACATCCTTCCAAGAGCTTTTCGATCGCTGACAAAAATAATTGAATCAAAATTACCATTGTAAGTAATATTGGAAGAATGAACCTGACACAAAGTACATTTTTGCTTATTTGGGATTAAAGGTGCATTATAGTGCTCAATGTTCAACAGGTAGCTTAATTTCCAACACAGCTGCATTGCTAGATTTGAAAGCACAACTTGAGTATCTATGTATTGGAAAAAGAAGAGACAGTTTTACTTTGCAAACATTAAGTTGCAGGAAATCACACCTCTGAATCCCTTGTCAATATAAGTTTGAACAATATGAAGGCCCTCATCTGGGCTCATCCTACCCTCGTGCAGACCCCGTAAAGTAGTTAAGTAAATAGATCTTGTACATGTGCAAAATCTCATCAGCTGTAGCTAGGTACTGGTAATACCCACAATAACAGCATAGCCTTGAAGAGGTTGAATGCTTGAACAAACAATGTTTGCAATCTGTACCAAGAAAGTGAAAGACTCATTTGAAAGGAGATGCCAAATGATGATAAGAGTGTTGACCTCTTCAATTGACAACGTCATCAATATAGCAAGTATATGTGATACCATACTGAAAAGGTAAATGTGAGATACTACAAATATAGTTCCCCACATACAAATTGTTGGTCAGATTTTTATCTTACTTCTGTGAACAAGATACAACGAGACTTTGATCTGGACATGACCTGAAGATTAAGAGCTTTCCTCTTCAGATCTTTAGGCAGGAGATGATGCTCAGGATATTTATCTTCCAAATACTGCTCAATCCGATAGGTTGTTAGTGACAAACAAATGCATTTATTGGCATGCCAAAAGAACATATACATAATTGCACAATGAAAATCTGCTGAAGCAGCATTTGTAACTCACCAATGAGATAGCGAGAGAATCGGAAACGACTATGTCCCCATCTACTAATGCTGGAATATATTTGATTGGGTTGATTTTTTCATAATCTATGAAAGGGAAGACATAGTGATGGAATTTCCATTAAACCACGAACTTTTCACAGAAAGTAACATCAAAGTTTCTAGAACACACATTTGTGTCCCCGTTGGTTGTAAACGCAAGAATGAGATGTCAACTACAATGCACGAATTGTGTCAAGGTGTGTTGCAGTTACCTGGATCTGTCCTAGGGTTTACGGACTTGTACTCGTAATCCACACCTTCATCATTAAAAAAGCCACGAAATTAGCTTTCAGATTTTAGAATAATATAAATCATTTATTTAATATGTCATAGATTGAATTTGTTAGTTCTGGAAAGAGCTTTGCACAAATTAACATAGCATCAGGTTCATTATAAAAAGTCAAGCACCACTGACAAGATAAATGTGTTGCATAGAGCCATCCTTGTTCTGTCAATAGACAAGTAGTGCTCAAGTAATTGAAAATAAAATATTCTTGGGGTTGTCGAACAACTAACTAGTCACAGTTTTACAGTTACTAGTACTATACCAGAATACAGAATTGCTAAAATCGGTAGTCATTCCTAATCCCTATTCCCTAACTGAAAAAAAACTTCAGAATTTGTCAAAAAAAAAACCCGAGTAAGGATCTGATTCTAGCGAAACTTGAGGTATATCTTAGGCTGAAAAAAGAGGATAAACGCTCGAGGTCATAGCATCAAGAAGCCGGCTCCCTTGTTTTTGCCATATGCTTTGATGAATTATTCTGTAAGATCAAGCTCTATTATGCCGAACAACTAACCAAAAGAGCAATCTAACCAGTTCCATACTCTGGATTTTCGACAAGTATTCAAGTCACCTTTGAGGTTGAGCGCGATGCGAACACGGTGGGAGCAGGAGCTGATCCAGGCGTTGTACAGGATGGGCTTCGCGGTCGCCATGGCCGTCGTCTCCTCCTCAGTCAGCAACTACCAGGTGCAGGTGAAGCCAAATGTAGACTCTTGAGTAGCAGGTGAGCCCCCCAGGTCTCCGGTCTGCTCCTAATCCCTTGAGCAGAATAGATAGAGCTAGATTGCTAGAGCAGAGCTGAAGAGAAAAAAGACGATTCTTTGCAAAGTCTGAGTGACTTCCAGCTGGGACCCACAAGCTATCCAGAAAGTCTCCAGGGGTGGGTAGGTGAGGCTGTACGACTGATTCTGATTGCAGAGCAAGAACCGAGGCAAACTTTGCTCGAGGATGGCATGGCCTCGTGATGCTTTTGAATATAGGGCCTTGTTTACGTCACAAGTTTTTTCACTCTCTCTTTATCACATTAAATTTTTGACATATGCATGGAGTATTAAATATAGATAAAAAATAACTAATTACACAGTTTGATTGTAAATTACGAGACGAATTTTTTGAGCCTAGTTAAGTCATGATTGGACAATAATTGTCAAATATAAACGAAAGTGCTACAGTGCCAAATACTGATTCCTAACCCCAATTTAAATAAGGCCTATGAAGTGGTAGTGTCCGGACCTCCGGATAGACACCCGTGTCTGTTCGCTCGTGTCACACTCGCTCACGCCAGCACGTCTCCGCCAGCATGTCTCTCGACGTCTCCCGCGTCGCTGGACTGCACGCAGGGACGTACGGGTCGTGCCCCCCCTCCCATTTCCCACACGCGTCCCATATGCAACTCCCGTATCGATGTTTCGAATAAACACCAACTAGTAAATTTATATTTGTTGCGCGTTAGGTCTGTATGGTGTGCTAAAGGACACAAGGTTTATACTGGTTCGGGCAGAATGTCCCTATGTCCAGTTTACTACTCCTCGTGTTATTAGCACTGAAAAGGTTCGTAGTAGGGGTACAAACGGTCGAGAGAGGGACATGTCCCAAGTCTCTAATGGAACGGTCGAAATGCGTTGAGAGCTCGGTTGCTGCTCAGCAGTGTGTTATGTGGTGCGTGAGGTGTGAAATCGATCCGTCTCTTAGTGGGGTGCCCTGCCTTCCCTTTTATAGATCAAGGGGGAGCAGGGGCTACAGACGGGAGAAAAAAGAAAACTAGAGACCAAGAAGGTCCTTCGAAGGTGCCCGGTCTTCCTTTTCCTCTAAGCCAGCCCTGCTGACATGGCAGACAGAGCCAGGTATAGCACATTCGCTGATCTTGATAGGGCCGCGCTCTGTCTTCGTTCAGCAAGTGGTCACGTCCCATCCTGCCCCGGCGGGCGGCACGGTGCAACAGGGTGCCAAGCCGCGACCCTATGGGGAGCAGACGGGGAAGTGACCATACGTCCGTACTGTAGATGATATGAGTTTCCTCCTGTATCGTAGTGGTTGTCATATGCTTATGCCAGGATCCACGTCCGAGGGTTGATGGCGGCGCCCACAACACTGTAAGACAAAAGTTGGAGCCTACAACACTGTTTGGGCTCTGACATGCCTGGAATTAACATAAAAATTAGCCACGAAATTAGCTTTCAGATTTTAGAATAATATAAATCATTTATTTAATATGTCATAGATTGAATTTGTTAGTTCTGGAAAGAGCTTTGCACAAATTAACATAGCATCAGGTTCATTATAAAAAGTCAAGCACCACTGACAAGATAAATGTGTTGCATAGAGCCATCCTTGTTCTGTCAATAGACAAGTAGTGCTCAAGTAATTGAAAATAAAATATTCTTGGGGTTGTCGAACAACTAACTAGTCACAGTTTTACGGTTACTAGTACTATACCAGAATACAGAATTGCTAAAATGGGTAGTCATTCCTAATCCCTATTCCCTAACTGAAAAAAAACTTCAGAATTTGTCAAAAAAAAAACCCGAGTAAGGATCTGATTCTAGCGAAACTTGAGGTATATCTTAGGCTGAAAAAAGAGGATAAACGCTCGAGGTCATAGCATCAAGAAGCCGGCTCCCTTGTTTTTGCCATATGCTTTGATGAATTATTCTGTAAGATCAAGCTCTATTATGCCGAACAACTAACCAAAAGAGCAATCTAACCAGTTCCATACTCTGGATTTTCGACAAGTATTCAAGTCACCTTTGAGGTTGAGCGCGATGCGAACACGGTGGGAGCAGGAGCTGATCCAGGCGTTGTACAGGATGGGCTTCGCGGTCGCCATGGCCGTCGTCTCCTCCTCAGTCAGCAACTACCAGGTGCAGGTGAAGCCAAATGTAGACTCTTGAGTAGCAGGTGAGCCCCCCAGGTCTCCGGTCTGCTCCTAATCCCTTGAGCAGAATAGATAGAGCTAGATTGCTAGAGCAGAGCTGAAGAGAAAAAAGACGATTCTTTGCAAAGTCTGAGTGACTTCCAGCTGGGACCCACAAGCTATCCAGAAAGTCTCCAGGGGTGGGTAGGTGAGGCTGTACGACTGATTCTGATTGCAGAGCAAGAACCGAGGCAAACTTTGCTCGAGGATGGCATGGCCTCGTGATGCTTTTGAATATAGGGCCTTGTTTACGTCACAAGTTTTTTCACTCTCTCTTTATCACATTAAATTTTTGACATATGCATGGAGTATTAAATATAGATAAAAAATAACTAATTACACAGTTTGATTGTAAATTACGAGACGAATTTTTTGAGCCTAGTTAAGTCATGATTGGACAATAATTGTCAAATATAAACGAAAGTGCTACAGTGCCAAATACTGATTCCTAACCCCAATCTAAATAAGGCCTAGGAAGTGGTAGTGTCCGGACCTCCGGACAGACACCCGTGTCTGTTCGCTCGTGTCACACTCGCTCACGCCAGCACGTCTCCGCCAGCATGTCTCTCGACGTCTCCCGCGTCGCTGGACTGCACGCAGGGACGTACGGGTCGTGCCCCCCCTCCCATTTCCCACACGCGTCCCATATGCAACTCCCGTATCGATGTTTCGAATAAACACCAACTAGTAAATTTATATTTGTTGCGCGTTAGGTCTGTATGGTGTGCTAAAGGACACAAGGTTTATACTGGTTCGGGCAGAATGTCCCTACGTCCAGTTTACTACTCCTCGTGTTATTAGCACTGAAAAGGTTCGTAGTAGGGGTACAAACGGTCGAGAGAGGGACATGTCCCAAGTCTCTAATGGAACGGTCGAAATGCGTTGAGAGCTCGGTTGCTGCTCAGCAGTGTGTTATGTGGTGCGTGAGGTGTGAAATCGATCCGTCCCTTAGTGGGGTGCCCTGCCTTCCCTTTTATAGATCAAGGGGGAGCAGGGGCTACAGACGGGAGAAAAAAGAAAACTAGAGACCAAGAAGGTCCTTCGAAGGTGCCCGGTCTTCCTTTTCCTCTAAGCCAGCCCTGCTGACATGGCAGACAGAGCCAGGTATAGCACATTCGCTGATCTTGATAGGGCCGCGCTCTGTCTTCGTTCAGCAAGTGGTCACGTCCCATCCTGCCCCGGCGGGCGGCACGGTGCAACAGGGTGCCAAGCCGCGACCCTATGGGGAGCAGACGGGGAAGTGACCATACGTCCGTACTGTAGATGATATGAGTTTCCTCCTGTATCGTAGTGGTTGTCATATGCTTATGCCAGGATCCACGTCCGAGGGTTGATGGCGGCGCCCACAACACTGTAAGACAAAAGTTGGAGCCTACAACACTGTTTGGGCTCTGACATGCCTGGAAGGGCTTAAAGCGCCCGTCTGGTCATATCCTGACAGTACTTCCCTGCAGGCGTGCAGGGTATGGTCCTCGGTATTGCGGTTGACTTAAGTGCCCTGCCTTATCTGCACACGTAGTTATGAAGGAGTAGCGCATAGACGTCAGGCGAGGTGGAGAACAGTCCTCGGACGTCGGGTGAAGCGGAGCCCACCCTCGGACGTCGGGTGATACGGAGACCAGCCCTCGGACGTCGGGTGATGCGGAGACCAGCCCTCGAACGTCGGGCGAGGCGGAGCCCGTCCTCGGACGTCGAGGGAGGCGGAGCCCGCCCTGGGACATCGGGCGAGTCGGAGCCTGCCCTCGAACGTCTGGCGAGGTGGAGCCTGCCCACGGACGTCGAGCGAGGTGGAGCCTACCCTCGGACGTCGGGCGAGGCGGAGCCCAGCCCCCGAACGTCGGGCGAGGCGTTACCCAGCCCCTGGACGTCGGGCGAGGCGGAACCCGTCCTCGAACGTCGGGCGAGGCGGAGCCTGCCCTTGGACGTCGGGCGAGGCGGAGCCTGCCCTTGGGCGTTGGGCGAGGCGGAGCCCAGCCCCTGGACATCGGGGGAGGCGGAGCCTACCCGCAGACGTCGGGCGAGGCGGAGCCAGCCCTCGGTCGTTGGGCAAAGCGGGGTCTAGCCCTCGGGGGTCGGGCGAGGCGGAACCAATCTTCAGTCGTTCGAGCAAGAAGTGTAGTTGCGTTCTTATCTGATCGGAAGCATCAATGTTTGATGGTCATTAGCTCCTCCTCTTCGGGTACCCCGGTATTCGGTCCCCGACAACCCGATATACTTTTGAAACATCAACATTTGCAACATATGTTTGAAGACAGATGAAACACTTGAAACATGCTTCTGAAACACTTATAAAAGCACTTGGAAAACACTTGAAAAAATATTACAAAACATACGCAGCATCCAGATAAAACACTTACATTATATGTATGAAACGTATACAACATTCAAATAAACACACTTGCCATATACGTGTGAAAACACAAATGAAACATAGGGAGCAAAAGCTTGGAACATAAGCAACATCTCGATCTGTTTTTGCAACATCGGCATAAAATAAATGTAACATACATCTGAAACATTTGAAATAAGCATAACTCTTTGTTGCTTGAGAGAAATGGAGGCTCATCAGCATTTGAAGTTCATTGATGTAGAGCTCACCGGTGGCACAGAGCGACCGGCTAGGGGGGACGCAATGCCGTTGAGTGCATCACAGACGCGCTCTGCGCCCCGCCACATGCCCCTTGAGGCGCCATGAGATCTGGATTTGGATCCGCACAGGGGGAGGGTGCTCGTCGCCAC